GTAGGGGGCCTCTTAACCAAGGGCACAAGTGCTGGTATGAGGAAACCAGTATCGGCTGAAAACAGCAGGCAGATATTAGAATACAGATAATATGCTTTGACCAGCAGGAACAATGGAAACCGCCCCTCCCCAAGACAATAGCCTCTGGCCACTCCATCCTAGCTTATATCCCATTAACTGTTTCCCCCAGGCATGTACACTTCCTATGTACTTGCCCCACCTTTGTACCTGATTCCAACAAATGCGAGACTGCCTTTGGATGAGGCCTGCACATTACTTCCGGTGTAGCCCCTCTAGGCTGCTCACTGCTTCACATGGACTTTGAGTTATCTCTCTCATCCCGCGCTGCTCCCAACACTGCAGCCCCCGGGAGGCAACATCCATAGCCAGGCTCCAGCCCATCGTGAGGTTGCACACAGAAGGTGGGCTTAGGTGAGGGAAGAGATTGGGGCACCAATGACCTGCCTGTCCACCTTTGCCAAGGGAGGTACTTTTGTGCCCAGACCGGCCACAGCTCAAGACCCATACCAACCCTGTGCTCAGGGCCCACGCCAGCCCTGACCACCCATCTCAGAACCCCTGCTCCAGCGCCACACAACCAAGAACCTCTAAAGGTTTTCAAGACATGTTTTGTTGCCAGATAATGCTAAGTCAATGCAGTACAAAAAAAGTCAATGACTGAGTGTCTCAGCCCTGGCCCCACCTGTCAAGTTCCCTCTGCATCTGCTCCCACTGCCCATTGACATTTTGTGTATCCTTCTAGAGTTTCTTTTTTTAAAAAAAATAAAAAGATTTATTTATTTATACAAGAGCTGGGATACAGGCCAGAGGCACAGGAGGGTGAGAGGATTCATCAGAGACAATGGGAAGCAGAACAGGCAGACAGACTGAAAACACTGCTGAGAGAAGCGGGCGAGTTAGGAGAGGTCTGCTGCACCATGTGGGTAGCTCCCTGGCTGGCCAGGAATCAAGCCCGTGCTACAGAGGCTGCAGACAGCTTCACAGTGCTGCGCTCAACCTGCTGTGCCACCCGGGAGGCCCTCCTTCTAGAGTTTCTTTATCCACTTTTGTATTTGCTCCCTTTCTCACATACAGGTAATCTATATGCACACAGGTTTGGATATGAAAAGAGGTGTGTTTCACTTTCAAAATGCTATTGTTTTCCCGGGCGTGGTGGCGCGCGCCTGTAGTCCCAGCTACTCGGGAGGCTGAGGCTGGAGGATCGCTTGAGCCCAGGAGTTCTGGGCTGCAGTGCGCTATGCCGATCGGGTGTCCGCACTAAGTTCGGCATCAATATGGTGACCTCCCGGGAGCGGGGGACCACCAGGTTGCCTAAGGAGGGGTGAACCGGCCCAGGTCGGAAACGGAGCAGGTCAAAACTCCCGTGCTGATCAGTAGTGGGATCGCGCCTGTGAATAGCCACTGCACTCCAGCCTGGGCAACATAGCGAGACCCCGTCTCTAAAAAAAATAAAAAAAAAAATAAATAAATAAAATAAAAAAAAAATGCTATTGTTTTCACCTAGTCACATGTTGCTTTCCACGTTCGGATTTGTTGGTCAAAGTGTAGTCCAGGTCAAAGTTTGTAAGTATTTTGATTAGCTACCCAGAAAGCCTGTCTGTTCAGCCTGGCGGGGTGAGGCGAGAGCAGTCAGGCTCTCCAGAGTCCTGGTGTCCCTCAGAGAGTGTTGCTTAGTAACGGCCACGAAGTCATGTGGGGGACTAGAGGAGCTGGTGTGTGTGTGTTCCCTCACAGCCTGCCAGGAGGAGGCAGTGGAATCAACTTTCAGTCTTTCAATGAGGGGAATCATACTTCCTTTTTAACCAGCAATTGAAAGTAAAATAAACCAAATTAGAAATCAAGCGAGAAGTCCACCTCAATCCCAATGCAACTGCGGTTATCAGTGGAGTAGAGGTTGTGCTCTGGTTTATAAGAGAGCAAAATTCAGGCCATGCATGAGTGTTTTTCTGGGCTCCTGATTGAAGTCAGTTATGAAATGACATTGAGACTTGCTCCAGGCTCATGTGCCCCTTCCCACCCAGGCCTGAGAGGAGAGAAGGGAGGGGGCAGGAACTTGGAGAGCACCCTCCCTAGTTCTTCCTCGCCCCTTCCCATGCTGCCTTTTCCTCTGCCTTCCCTTATTTTCCTTATTGCCTCTGTGTCCACATCTGTCCTCAGCTCTTGTGGGGCAGTCTTACTGACAGGTCACACACAGGGCCTGGAAGGCCACTTGGCACAGAGGGAGCATTCAACAGATAATTATCAAAAAGGCTTTCCTAAACTCTAGTGCCAGTTCCTACTCCTAAAAATGACTTGCAAGGGGCACTCAGGTGCTTTCCTGGTAACCCAGGCACCTAGCTGAACATAGCTCTTGAACCTGTCCAGTGCCTCACACACCACTCAGGGAGTTACTAGCCCTTCGGGCTCTGACTATGTACAACTCTGGCGCCAGGCCCAGTCAGCTCTGTGAGAAGGTGGGCATTTGGGACACAGTTGACATACCAGGGAGGTGACCAGAACTGATTTCCTAGGATGGCCTTCTCCCTCTCCCTGGAGGATTGTAGTCACACCCACCTTGAATCAAATCTGGCCCTGACCATACCTGGTCAGAGTTCATAAACAAATGGGTTCTGAGCAGGTGAAAACTCACCTGAGCCAGGTGACCCCATACACTATAACACTGGCAGTTACCAGGGCCTCAGAATAGGTTTCTTAATGCACTTAAGCCTGGGAAGGGGGTGACGTTACAGAGGTTGGAGGAGAAGAGCGGACAATCTCCTGTCATCTAGGACAGCAAATCCTGGGCAGAGATTTGGTATCAGATGTGGATTTGAACCCTGGAACCTAACTAATTAAATTAACTTACTAGGGCCTCCCTGGTGGCACAAGGGGTTAAGACACAACCTATGAAGCTGTCCGCAGCCTCTGCAGCATGAATTCAATCCCCAGTGAGGGAGGTGACCCACATGGCACAGCAGACCTCTCCTGTCTCGCCCACTGCTATATTTCAGTCGATCTGCCTGTTCTGTTCCCCACTCTGTCTCTGGTGAATTCTCTCACCCTCCTGCACTTCTGACTGTACCCAGTGCTTATATAAATAAATAAATAAATCTTAAAAAAAAAAAAAAAAAAGTGTTGTGCTCAGAGCCCACGCCAGCCCTGACCATCTGTTCCAGTACCACGCGACCAAGAACCCCCTCAAGGTTTTCAAGATGAGTTTTGTTGTCAGGTAACACAAAGTCAATACTTCCTTTGTATTGAGGCCCTTCTTTTTGCTGCTGAGTGACACCACATTGTGTGGGCACAGCACACCTTACCTGCTCACCAGTTGGAACTTTGGATTTCCATTTTGAGACCTAAGGCTACCTTAAGGCTACTCTTAAGGTCATAATTTCCATTTATGAATGATGCTGCTCTAAACATTCACGTGCAAGTTTCCATGTGGGCATGTCTTTATTTCTCTTGGGTTGACACACTTCGGAGTAGAGTTTTTGGATCATGTGACTCTGCACTTAACCTTAACTGCCAGACTGTTTTCCGAAGTGGTTGCACTATTCTACATTCTTACAAAGACATGAGGGTTTTATTTTCCCCACTTCCTCACAAGTATTTGGTTTTTTTTAAAGATTAATTTGTTTATGCATACAAGAACTGAGGTGTAGGCCAGAGGTGCGGGAGGGTGAGAGGATTCACCAGAGTGGGGAGCAGAACAGTGGATCCACCAAAATACACTGCTGAGGGGAGCAGCAGGCAAGGCAGGAGAGGTCTGCTGTGCCATGTGGGTCACCTCCCTGCCCTGCTGGGGATTGCTGCTGATAGCTTCATAGTGCTGAGACTTAACTAACCCCTTGCGCCACCAGGGAGACCCCAGATTTAAAGCTACTTTTTAAAAAAGATTTATTTATTTATGCATACAAGAACTGGGGTGTAAGCCAGAGGTGAGGGGAGGGGGTGATAGGATTCCCCAGAAAGAGTAGGCAGATCTACTTAAGTACACTGCTGAGGGGAGCAGCAGGTGAGGCAGGAGAGGTCTGCTGCACCATGTGAGTTGCTCCCTAGCCTTGATAGCACTGTCTTTAACCCCTGTGCCACCAGGGAGGTCCTTAAGGCTACTCTTAAGGTCATAATGAGATTTGACAGAAAGGTTTTGCAAAGGGCCTTCTATAGACTCGTGCTTCAAAATGAAGGGTTTTTGAGTTGTTGTATTTGTCATTCTGGCTCCATAGAAATGAAACTTTCCCATGGGTTGTTCGGTGTTGGAGCCAGGGCAGCCCTGGGTGGGGGAAGGGAAGGCTCTCCCTGCTTCTTAGCGGGAGATAGTGCCACTTATGAGGGGTCCACTTCATTGTACATGTTCTGTTGAGCAACTGCCCATTGTCTCATTTCATACCAGGACCTTTTGATGAAACCTTGAGGTTAGAGATATTCGTAACTTCTGTAGGTTGTCTAGTTCTAAGAGGTAGAGGCTAAGATTTGAGCCCAGAGCTGAGGCTGATGCCAATGCCACCGACGGTGGGCTCCTGCAGACAAGCACCAGGCATACAGCCTACATGGGTAAATCACAGGCTGGGTCCAGCTATGTGAGCAGCACATCCAGCCTCAGCTGCTGGGGGGGCGGGAGAGCCAGTGGCTGAGAACACAGATGCTTCCACCATTGACCAGCAGCTCAACTGGAGTAAGCAACCTGCTTACTGGGTATCTTCTAGAAAAAGAATAGCCAGGGTATCTTCTAGAAAAAGAATAGCCCAATGAAGAGGGCAGCTGGAGTCACAAGTTGCCTGGCCCACAAGGAAGCAAGCAGCTTCCTCCTTGGTGTATTGGCTGCAGCACCACCCCACCCTGGCCCACCTTAGAACAAAATCTCCAAACCCTGACCCAGGGGCTGGGTGGAACAGTGTCATTATAGCTCTCAGGGCCTGGCCCCACATTTCCTCATTTCTACTTACACTAGGGCGTCAGAATTCTCTAGAACAATGACAACAGAGAGCATAAGAAAAGCAGCATTTAGAAAAAAATTAAAACTTTATTCAAGGAGCTAAATTTTGCAGCACTGAATAACACATTTTAAACAGTACACCTACAAAACAAGAGTTAAATACAAGCATCATCTCATTTCATGTATTTCTGATTGTGACGGCTCTAAGCTGCTTGTTTCTTTTCCATGTATTAAAATAATTTATTATTATTGTCAGGTTTTGTGCCTCTCACCTCCTTCAGTTGGCATCAAACTGCCCTGCTTTGGGTTCCAGTTGGGGACTTCCCCAGACCACCCTGTCTCTCCCTCCTCCTACAGCGGGAGCTGTGCAGGGCTGTCTGGCTGACGGCACTGACATCCCCTCATAGCACCTTCCACCATGAATCAGAGGAAACTGGTAGTCTTGGTCTGAACAGATTTAAGATTTTATCACAAGGACCCGAACACCACCTGAGCCTGCCATCTCCCTGCGCAGCCCCTCAGTCAAGGGCTCTGGTCATAGAGAAGGGCACAGGTGCCTTAGTCCTTCTTGCTTTCCGGGGCTGGATTTCTTGTGAGGAGCATCCCTGGGCTGGAGGGGGTCATTGTGGACACCGTGGGGGATTCCAGTTTCACTCTGTCCAGGAGGGTCTTCTTGAGGGCAGCTGGAGAGATCTTTTCCTGGTCAGCCATGGACTGCAGCTCTCTGCAAACAAAACCCCACAAGGGTTGAAGAGTCAGAGCTTCCCTCACAAGGCTTCCCCATGTACACAACCCCCGAGCCCTGTTGCCTTGCTACCACCAAAAAGTAGAACCCCCAAACCAAATGTTCCCCAAAACTTCTCAGAAGTCCACTAAATTAAGTATGGGTACAGATGTAGTGTTTGAAGTGGTACCTGGATCATATGTGGTATGATTTCCCATACACAGAGGTGAAGTTAAATCCTGTCTCCATCACTTATTAGCTATCTGACCTTGGGAAAACTCTCTGAGCCCCAACATCCTCATATATAATCCCAGGTATCAGAACCACAGTGAGAATTAAACACCTACAAACCGTTAGAGAAATAAAATCTAGTAAGACATGGCTTATTAACTGAGTAGACTCCCCCAATGGGCCAAACAGAAGGTTCTGCAAGACTATCAAAACCAGGCCAGAAGCTGGCTGGGAACCGAAGGCCTAGGGCTTAAAAAGAAAGTGACCCACCTTGTTCGGATGCAGGAAGCCTCAACTGCATTGATGAGCAGAGAGCGGAAGCCCCCACTCTCCAGGAAGTGCAGGGCATGGATGGTGGCCCCTCCTGGAGAGCAGACATTGTCCTTGAGCTGTCCTGGATGCTGCTCCGAGTCTAGCAGCATCTTGGCAGCCCCCTGTGGCAGGAAGGGAGGATTAGAGAAGAAAGCTGCCAGGCACGTTGGGACAGGTTTCTTCACACCCACTGCTCTGCCCCAATCCCTAGCGCAGCTTCCCAACCAACCCCTGCCCCCAGCTCAGCAACAAAACCCCTTCTTGGCATTGGTGGTGGGCTGGATGTGAAAGTATACAATTGTAGAGGTTTGAACCTATAACTCCCAGAGTAGATACAAAGATGAAAATCTACTTGACCTCAGTAAACATAATTTAGGGAAAAAAATCATTCTACCCCCTAGGCCAGAGCATGCAGGGGCGTAGATACTGACCAGCAAGGCCTGGGCCCCCAGTCGGACAGCCAAGCGCCGAGGTAGGCCCATCTTCACTCCTCCATCAGCCAGTGCATCCAAGGCCATGAATGCCTGTGGAGACACTCATTAAGCAGCAAGCACTACCACTCAAGGGCGCTGCCCAGGGTCTTGCTAATGTCTGGAACTAGTTCCAAGGATCAGCCTCCTCCACCAGTGAGCTGCACCCTAGAGGCAGACAACACCCCCAGCCCAATCCTGCCTGCCAGCCCATCTTGCTCTCTTGGTCCCTGGAAGGCAGAGTGAGGATCTGAGGGGCTCACATAGGCAGGCCCACTACCACTGAGCCCTGTGACGGCGTCAATCAGGTCCTCCTCCACTTCTGTGCAGAAGCCCACGCTGCTCATGAGCTGCTCCAGGAGCTGTCCATCTTCCACTAGGGCATGCGTGCCTGTGGCATACACGGTGGCACCCTCCCGCACGACCACAGGTGTGTTGGTCATGCAGCGAATCACTTTGGGGGCTGGCTGGAACGCCATCAGCTTCTGGAGCAAGGTAGAGGGCAAGTAAGTTGCCAGGACACAGTCCCCACCAGCACCCACCCCTTAGCTGCCACTCCTAGGCCATTCCTCTCAACACATGGCATCAGGGCTGACATGGGTACCTTCTCCACAGAGCTGATGGTGACACCGGCGGCACACGAGACCACGATATGCCTGGCCTGGACGTCAGCCCCAATCTCATCCAGGATGAAGGGGATGATGTGCGGCTTCACAGCCAGGAACAGGACATCACTGTGCTTCACTGTCTCCTTGTTGCTCCGGGTCAGGTTCACACCCATTTTCTGTCGGAGGAGATTCACAGTGCTGGGGCAGCCTTCCTAGGCTCAGGCCCTCCCAAAAAGCAGCCAAAACCCCAGCAAGCCCACTATGCACTGCAGGCAGGAATTCCCTACCCTATCCTCTCAGGGTCTGCCTCTACCTCCACTGGCACCAAGTTTTCCAATTACGTGGGCAAATGAGCATAGGTGCTGGGCACTGGCAAGTTACTTCATGGGAACCAGAAAACTCCATGGGAAACAGAAATGAGGGACAAGTTACTCCCTCATTCCCACCAACCCTCTGGCACCCAAAGGAACCCATGGCCAGAAGGCTCCATGGCTGGAAAGTGGCAAAGACAAAGGTGAAATGCTAGAACCTAATGGTCATGCCCAACCGCAAGCCTGGCTGCTTGCTCATCAGACTGCGTGGCTCCTATGGGTCTGGGGCCAGTTGGCAGACACCCATCTCTAGATGCACTTCTCAGACAGAAAAGCAGGACCCTCCAGTGCCAGGAACATGCCCCATCCTAGACACAGACACTGCCTGTCTTCCCCCTCATTAGACAAAGTCGTCCAGACCACCCAGGTTTGGGTGAAGACTTGGGATATTCTTTGTTTTTGGAGAGAAACTGACTCCAGGTTCTTTCCTCTTATTTATGCTCAGAATAACTCAGCAAAGTGGCTATTGTGGCCTCCACCTTATATAAATCAGGAAAAGTGAGCTTCAGAGTGGTTGAAGACTTTAAAGTCATACAATCAGTTAATGAAGAAAAACAAGTACAACGTGTCACCGGCTTAATAACCAGCCATTTTTTCAACTTTAAGACGATGTGAAAGCAATATGCATTCAGTAGAAACAGTACTTCAAATTCTGAATTTTGATCTTTTGCTGGGCAAGCAGAGGCGAGGCTCTCTGACGCCCGGCAGCAGCACAGAGACACAGCTGACACTTGATCATGAGGGTGAACAGCTGACACTCCATAGACTGGTTTTCACTCTCATTGCAGTATTCAGTAAATTACATAAGATAGCCAGTCCTGGACCTCCCTGGTGGCTCAGGGGTTAAAGTCTCAGCACAATCAAATGCTATCTCCAGCCACTGTGGCATGAGTTTGAGTCCCTCCTCCAGGAACTAAGCCACATGGCGCAGCAGACCTCTCCTGTCTTGCCAGCTGCATGCCTCAGCAGTGTCTTTCAGTCAGTCTGCCTGTTCTGTTCCCCACTCTGCCTGGGGTGAATCCTCTCATCCCCCACACCTCTGGCCTAGACCCCTATCTTGTATGCATAAATGCCTTTGGTGGGGGAGATGATGTATTTATGCATACAACAGCTGGGGTAGGGGGGGGGTGGTGGTGGCGGGTAAGAGGATTCACCAGAGGCAGAGTAGGGAGCAGAACATGCAGATTGGCTGAAATACACTGCTGAGGGAAGCAGCAGGCGAGACAGGAGAGATCTGCTTCGCCATATGAGTTTCTCTCTGGCCAGCCAGGATGGAACTTGTGCTTGTAGAGGCTGCGGATTGCTTCATAGTACGGTGCTTAATCCCTTGCACCACCAGGGAGGCCCCAATAAAATAAATCTTTAAAAAAAAAAAAATGATAGCCAACCCTTTGTTATAAAATAGGCATCGTGTTAGAAGATTCTGCTCAACTACAGGCTAATATAGTGTTCCAAGCACATTTAAAGTAGGACGTTTGTTAAGTGTATTAAATACACTTCCAATTTATGACAGCTTCAACTCAGGATGGGTTTATTGGGAAGTAGCCCCACAGTAAATTGAGGACAATCTGAATTTCCGGGATACCTACTACCTGTCTGGTGCCTTCCACACATAATTACCTAAATTAATCTTCCAACCACCCCAGTGTGTGGTTTTGAAGCCACATGGTGGGCACTGCCTGTTGCGCCCACCACACTGAACTGCCCCAGGGACGGTGGAGATAGTGGAATTCCTGGCAGGCAGGTCAGCGCCGAGGAAGACCAGCACAGGGGCCAGGCCTCTCTCAGACCACCCTTCCCCTGGGTTTCCACCCACTTCCCCACTTACCCTGAGCGAGGACACAGTGGGCAGATCCATTTCTGGGGAGCTGGCTATTATTTTGTGAGCCGACAGGATGCCTGTAGAAGACAGGGCTTTTAAACAGGGGATCATGGCCCAGCCTGTTGCCACCATTTCCAAGGAAAGCAAAAACAAAACCCTCAGGCTCTGACATATGGTCCCCTCCGCGCCTCCCCTTCAATCCCTTACGCCAACAAAAGACTCTCTCGGCTACTTAAGGGAGACTCATCTCCCCCACCAAATGCAAAAAAACGCAACTGCCCCGTAATTCATTCCCGCATCCATCACGCTGGCGGGGAGAAGACCGTCCACCGGCGAGGCCGGGGCCGCCCGCGCCCCCGCCCCCCGCGCTCGCCTGCGGCCGTGAAGCCCCGCGCCAGCGCACAGGCCAGCTGGCCCGCGCCGATGAAGCCCACGCTCATGGCCCCGGCTCCGCGCGCGGCGGCGGCCGCAGGACTCGGCCCGGCTGGGCTCGGAGGGCTCCCGGGCAGGGTAACCGGCGCGAGAGCACAGGCGGCCCCGCGGCCTCCGGCGCCAGCGCCCGCAGCCAGATCCGCGCCCCTCCCCGCCGCGCCCGGGCGCCACGCGGCCGCTCCCGCGACGGCCAATCCGCAGCCGGGGGCGCCGGCGCCGCGGCTGTGACGGGCCCGGCCTGCGCCCGCCCTGCGCGTCGGGTGGGCGGCGCCGGCGCGGCCGCCGCGCGGGAGGCCGGGATTTCCGCCCGCGGTGCGCCCCGCCCCCGCCCCGCCCGGGGCTGAATTCGGGGTCCGGCGGGTCCCGGGTGGGAGGCTGGGACGAGGTTCGGCTAATCGTGTTTCTGGTTCCGGCGCGCAGCCGCCCCGGCGGCGCAGGGTGGCCCCAGGATGCCGTTTGAAGGGGTGAAGGGGGCTCTGCTGGGGGCTTCAGGCCGGGCTGGAGCGCGGACCGTGGGGCCCAGGCGCCTCCCAGGGCGCCGGGATTGGCCGGGTTGGAGCTGGGAGACCCCCGACTTCTGCTCGGTCCGGGCCACGCGGGTACGGTACGGTGCAAACACGGTTTATTTATGTGAATTTGCATGGCCCTCCGGAATTGATGCAAATAGGGTTGGCTCCTCTGTTTAAGGAAAGATCGGACTGGCCAACGTCTAAGGGAGGGCTGAGACTTTCAGTCCCTCCCACTGTTATAGGACAGGGAGAGGGGCAGCCCAAAACCCCGCAAACCTGCCTATTTTAAATGGGTTCTGCCATCCGCCGCATCAACACAAAACATAGGAGACTTTAATGAAAAGGAACTTTAATAAAACTAAGAAACAATACAGGTAAGGCAAAGAATCTAGTTTTTAAATCAAGCACCCAAAGTTACCCATCCCCTCGTGGGTAAAAGTCCATCCAAATGGGATTGGCCCAGAGCAAGGCCCCAAGGCCTGCCACAAGTCTAAAGCATCTTCCAGTGGGGACCCACAGAAAAGGGTCACAAACAACAAGCAAACAACAAGCCCGGAAGGAAAAGAGCAAAATCAACATCAAGATAAAAGCTGCCATTGTCACCTCCCCATGGGTCTCACCCACATCTGTGTCACCCAGTCTATGACCAAAAGACAAGCGCAGTTTCTTCACGTGTCTCTAGGCTCCATGCGCCTCCTCCAGGTCTCCTGGCTCCATCCTGCTTCCTTCCTCAGTCTCCTCTGCAGCTTCTTCTCTTCCTGCTCAGCTCCACCCTCCCTTGGGTGGGGCAGGGAACCTCCCCTTTTCCTGGGGACCACCCTGTTACACCACCACAACTTGCATTTAAAAGCTCCTCCAATGTGATGTTTCCTTTTCCATCAGTACTGGGTGTAAGTAAAGAATCATGGGGAGCAGGTGACAGAAACATACAGAAACGTAAGGTGTCCCCGGAGAACTCGGGAGCCCAGAGAGAACTTTCTCCACTTTTCTACAGTCCTTTCCCTGTAACCTGCGCCCGCTCCCCCAGCAGGGGCCGCTCTGTAATTTTCCTTTTTCCTTTGGTTGATCCCTCTCCTGAGCAAATACGGGCCCTGTCTCTGCACCCTTTAGAGTCGGGACCAGATATTTACAACCATTTACTAATAAAACAAAATAATATTTCTATATTTTCTATTAGAAAAGTAATACATGCATATTGTGGAAAATACTGAAAAAGTAAAAGAAAGTCAAAATCCTGTCTCATAATCATAGTTCCTTGCACTGTTACAATCTGTGCATTTATTCCATTGTTGAAATAAATGATAAACAGTTTTGAAATGTTTGTACTACATATATGATAAGCATTGTCCAGTGTCACTGAAGTTATTTAAAAGATCTTTGTGACTACTTAGCATTCCATCAGATACGTGCACTATATTTATTTAACCATTCCCTCAAAGACCATCATTATTAATTCACTCAATATACACTTACTAAACTAGGCTCTGGGGATACAACCCTGAACAAAACAGACAAAAGTCCCTGTAATATTAAATCATATTAATTTTTGAGTTATAATTCATACTACTTGATAACACTACTTAAATATTAACTTAGTGAGGTCCTCTATATGAGATTTCTGGGTTATCAGCACGGTTACAGGTTACCAGCATGTACTGTGACTTCAGAAATTTAAACTAGCTGAAGGAAGGGTGTACCCTTGGGAAGGTACAGGGGAGCACGCTAACTAGGAGGAACACTGACATCATGAGGACCCCAGAAACTGGAAATAGAATCCACACTGCCAGCATTCTTCCTTTCTTTTTTTTTTTTAAGGTTTTATTTATTTTTATGTAGAAGAACTGGGGTACAGGCCAGAGGTGCAGGGAGTGAGAGGATTCACCAGAGACAGAGTGGGGAACAGAACAGGCAGACACTGACATACACTGCTGAGGGGAGCAGCGGGCGAGACAGGAGAGGTCTGCTGCGCCATGTGGTTTGGCTCCCAGGGACGGTGCTGCAGTGGCTGCGGATAGCTTCACAGTGCTGAGACTTTACCCCTTTCGCCACCCTTCCCTTCCTGTTTTCTTTTTCACTCATCTCTAACATGCCTCCACTTAGCCTTATTCTACCTTACTGCAGAGGAGTCTTGTCAAGCAGCAGGAAAGTTGGGAGCCACCCTTGTCCACAGCTTCCCAGTGCTGCCTGTTCCTCTGAGGGGTACTTGAGCTGCCCTTAGTCGATTTAGGAGACTGCAGGCCCCTTCTGCTTCTGCTCTCTGGCTCTAACCTCTCACAGAAGAGTTTATGCCAAAGCCAAGATGGGGTAGGGGGTGTGTGTTGGGTGAAGGGGGCACTGATATCTCCTGTCAGGCCCCTTATACATATCCATCCTTTACCTGGTTGCTGGGTATCTCCTACCTCAGCATTTTCTCAGCAGAGATGAAATGTGAGGCCTCCAGAGCCTTAGAAAGGAAACCAGAGGAAGGTAGGGGGTCGTGTGCAGATTATCTCACTGGTGCTAATTAGGAAATTCCAGATTGATAAGTTTAGGATTACACTTTTGGGAAAGGTTGAAACTGTAATAGGTATTACGTCTGGGGTGGGGGTGTGCAGCCTGCATGAAGGACTCTGTCTAGGGCCTGTTTTTTTTCTATTTGTACACACCTAAGCAGATGACAAGTTCCCTTGCCCCTAATCCTTCCTGATTTAGGAACCTCTCCAGGGAGGCACATTTTTTGCAGGTATTTATATTTTTGTTATTACACCATTAATCCATGTAAATTGTAGAAAATAAAACAGAATTAGATCAAATGGGAACATGAGCATTACCTTGAATCCCACTGCCCAAGGAAAACCAATGTGATTCTTGGAGTTTAACCCTACACTTGTTTTTCCTATGCAGTAAGGCACATGTTAAGCTTGTTTTTATAACAAGTATGTGCTCATGTTGTATGTAAATAGATTTTTTTAAAAGATTTATTTATTTATATACAAGAGCTGGGGTACAGGCCAGAGGTGTGGATGGTGAGAGGATTCACCAGAGACAGAGTGGGGAACAGAACAGGCAGATCCACTGAAACACACTGCTGAGGGGAGCAGTGCGCGGAACAGGAGAGGTCTGCTGTGCCATGTGGGTTGCTCCCTGGCTGGCGGGGGATTGAACTCGCTCTGCAGTGCTGCCAATAGCTTCACAGGCTGTGTCTTAACTTCTTGCGCCACCAAGGAGGCCCAATAGATCATTTTGTATGTAAACAGAAGATATGTAAAAACAAAAATAATTTTGTTTTAGGCTGGTGGGATTATTGGTGGTTTTCAATTCATTCAAAATTATCATCTTTGATGTTACTTAATCTTTTGAATGAAAAAAATGTAATGACATCATACTTCTAATGGGATTTGATATACTATCTATTAGTTTGCCATAATAATTCACTGCAAGATTGGCTATTTTGTGGGTCAGGAGTCTGAGTGGGCCCAGCTTCTTTCTCTGCTCCAGGTTCTGCAGTTCAAATCAAGACAGCTTATCTAGGCTCTTCTCTGGAGGCTTTGGGAGAACTGACTTCCAGATTGATTTCCATTCTTGGCAAATTTTGGCTCCATGTGTCTGTAAGTTTAAGGTTCCCTTTCTTTGGGGACTGTTAACTGGAGATTGTTCTCTCTTCTAGAGGTCGTTCATATACGCTGGCTGATGGCACCCCATTATCTTCAAGGCAACAATGGCAAGTTGAGTCCTTCTCATGCTTCAGATATCTCCAACCTCTTCTTCTGCCTCCTCTCTCCTGCTTCCAGTTAGAGAAAGTTCTCTCCTTCAAAAGGATCATTTGATTAAATCGAATGCACCTAGATAATTAAAGCTAATATCCCTATTTTCAAGTCAAACCTCAATTGTATATGCAACATCTCCTTTGTCATGTAACAATATAATCACAGGTTCCAAGGACTAGGGCATGATTTACTTGAGAACACTCTCCCTGTGCTGAAGAGCATATCCTTACATTTTGAAATGAAGCCAATCTCCTGGATATTTTTTAGCTCACGTGTGAACAAGCAATCCTTGTTATTGATTGGAAATCCAGAGACCTTTCAAAGCCACAGAGAGGTGACTGAGTAGCTGATAGAATTCTCTAGTTGATATTGATATCCTTGTAGAGAAAGCAGCCGTCCTGGTACCACAGTGGAAAGGGGTCATTCTTTGGATGTCTGATGTCAGAGCCAAATCCTCTGCCACTACTTCCAACAATATTTTTGGCAAGTCCTCAAATCCTGTCCAAAGACTACCTCCATTCTTCCTATGCTATTCAGTTGCTATTAGTTAGCCTTGTGGGTAAAAATAAAGAATTCATAGGCATAAGGAAACGCAACTGACTGGGAAAGATAAATGCAGGGGAATTGCCAGATGTGGCAACTACCAAATGATATTTTAACCTAACGTCTGTGTCATCAGCAGAGCACACTCACTGGGATGTGAGGTGGAAAGTTTATAACTCATTCTGTAAGGTAGAGACTCAACAGATCTACGTTTATTTCATTTGGGGGAAAAATGGGAAAAATGCTTATCCCAAGGAATAGTTGCAAGAATTCAGTAATGTATGTGAAATCCGTTAGCACAGCTTCCTGGTTCATAGTGACTGCTCAATAAATATTAGTTTGCTAACCATACCACTGCCAGCGCACCCTGTCCCCATATCCTCTATTGCAAAGCTTAAAATGCTTTCTAAAGAGGTGGGAAAAATTTTCTGCGTTTCTCAGACTTTTTAAGCCATGACCTTCAGCACAGGTGGCCTAGTAGATAACATGTAGCCTTGAGATGTAGTCTACATGTGTGGAGAGCAGTAAATACTATGTAATCTTGGAAAGTTTACTGCACGAACATACTCCTGTAAACCAGGTCTAAACTTGGCCCTGTGGGGGCTTTGCCTGTAAACATATAAAAGCTAATGGGGGGCCTCCCCAGTGGCGCAGCGGTTGAGCGCTGGGTTCCGAAGCTGCCCGCAGCCTTTGCAGCGCCGGTTCAACCCCCGGCTGCTCCCCGGCCACCGGAGGAGGGTCCCACATGGCGCGCAGACCTCTCCTGCCGCCCGCTGCTCCCCTCAGCAGTGTACTTCGGTCCTTCTGCCTCCTCTGCTCCCCGCTCTGGCTCTGGTGAATTCTCTCACCCTCCCGCGCTTCTGACTGTACCCAGTGCATGTATAAATAAATAAATAAATCTTTTTTTAAAAAATCATTTATTAAAAAAAAAAAAAAAAGCTAATGGGGCCCTTCCAGGGATCCACCCACGGGGTATGAGGCCACTGCTGCTGCTGGAGCCCAGGGGGGCTGCCACTGCTAAACACCGCAGCTTTTGGTCCCTGTTTATCTCCTGCTGCCTCATAATAAAGACTTGTTCCTGCTCCCCACATAAGGGCTTCGTAACCTGCTTTCCCACCTGCCGCTGTTGAGAAGCAGCCCCAAAGATGGAGATGTGAGTGGTTGTTTATTACACCATTTTGACAATGAGAGTTGGGGAGGATATAAATATTATAAATGAAAGCATAATCTAAATGTAGTTATTGCAGCCTCTGTGTCTCCCTAGAATTTGGGGGTCTGTGGTTACCACCTTTCTTCAGATCACGATGCTCTCATTGCCCATTATTTCTCCCTTCTATGTAAGGAGTACTAGAAATGAAATACAGAGACACAAAGTGAAACCACTTATTTTATTTCAGCAGATTATCTACATTAATTCTTTTTTTTTTTTTTGCTAAATGAAAAAGAAAAGTGTGTGTGTGTGTTCTAGTGATAGGTTCTCTAAAACAGTGGCCAAAATAACCTGATTGTGCACAAAGCTTGGTCCAGGGAGCCAAGGAGAGGTGAGGTTGAGGCTTCTTTACTTTCTGTTTGTTTTTTGTTTTAATTTGTTAGTTTGTAGTTTGGGGGTGGCTTTCTATTTTAGACCTTCCTACCTAGTAAAAAAACAAAGGGATTGTTGGCTTTAATTTAACATGCACTAGAATAAATCAGTTCCCATGACAGGGTTGTATTGTTTGGTACTCAGCTGGGAATTTGTCAGGGAAGAGAAACTCCCAGCTGACAATCTGTTCATGCTTGACCTCTAAAAAGCAGACTGGATTTCCCTGTTGGAGCTCTGCAGTCCAGATTGGATTGCTCTTGTAAGTGCTTAGGGAGGGTAATGGGATGGAAGACAAGATATGGAAAAATGCTCAGGAAAGGACAAACAGGAGCACACAATTGGGACAAAAGGTAACTTGCTAAGCAGAAAGTTAAGACCTACTTTAAGACCTGTACATGTCCAGTCACAGGCACGGTGGCCACACCCCACACCTATGGTTCCAGCTTCCTTGGCACCAGCGCCCCATCCCAGGCACAGCTGCATTTCTGCACCCTCATGTTGGGCAGGCTGACCACCTGGGGCCTGGCTTGACCCCCCTCTTTGATGCTAACAATCATGGGCAGCGAGGTGGTCTCTGAGGCGATGCACTGCCGCGGGCCCAAAAATGGCCACCTGAAGGTCTGGGGTTCCGGGGGCTGCTGGCAGGTGCCCACACACTCATAGGCCAGGAAGCCCGGGGGTTCCAGGACCCAGTTCTCAGCCCACTTCATCCCCTGCAGGTCAATGTACATCTCCTGGCGGCAGCAGCGGGTGCCCTCCATCACGGGCACCTCAGTGTCACAATTGCCCTGGGCTCTGTGGGACAAGAAAAAACAGGTTCAGAGGTCAGTTGGGGGACCTGAGGTCACCCAGGGCCCAGTTGGGGGGTGGGGTGGGGAAGGGAGCATCTGGAAGAGAGATTTATGATCTGTCCCCCTTAAGTCCTCAGGTGCAAAGCTAGACATTTGTGAGTAGGATAAAGAACTAGAAAGAACCCCAAACAAGTAACACAGACTGCTATTCCTCCTGAGTCCCTGGAGAAATTTTACACAGTCATTCATAACCCTAGCACCAGGACAAGCTCTTTCAGTGGCAGTTTTATCCCCTATTTGTGTGTTCATGGGGTTCACCCATCTGAGCCACAGCGCCCACCCGTAGTCCCTGAGGTCCAGGGTGTGCAGCTCCAGCTGGGGCTCGGCAGGCCCTGTGCCCCATGGCCTCTGGGAGGCGAAGCGGACCAGCTTATGGGCGCTGGAGGCCAGTGGGCCCAGGTGCTCCCTCTGCACAGACACCTGCAGCAGCAGGGGCTGCTGGGGCCTGCTCAGCTGCTGCCAGAAGTTCACAGCCTCGGTCACGTCGAAGGTCTTCCAGCCGCTGTCGTGGAGGGACACCAGCCTGCCACAAGGAGACAGGAGCCAGCGCTGAGACCCGGGGACTGGGGCTGGCTGGGGTGGTGGGCAGCATGCCTCTCCCACCTGCCTACCTAAGGGGCCAGGCAGCAACAGTCCCCGCCCCCTTCCACACCCCCCCCTCCACCCCCCCCCCCCCACACACACACACACACACACACACGCGCTGGGCCCAACCTCTTCTCCACTCCCCACTCCCCCTGCACTCCCTAGCCGTGACCTCTCCACCTGGAGTCGATGAGGGAGGTGCGGTTGGAGCCATCAGCACGCACATGCAGCCACTCCACGGTGACCCGGGCCCTGGCGCTGTGCGGGGACAGACGCTCCTGCTTGCGCAGCACGGCCTTGGGCACAGGCTCCTGGAACAGGCGCAGAACGGCCTGCACCAGCTCGCTGTGGGGCGGCAGCCGCTGCTCCATGCCAAACACCAGCAGGTATGTGGAGGCTTCTGATACCAGGAACCTGCCGGCCACCTCTGGGGACACAGCAATGTCAGGGGGCCTCTCCAGGCCTCACGGGAGCCCTGAGCACCAGAGGCACTGAGGGGGAGGGCCAAATGGGGAAGCACAGTCCCTGGGCCAAGTCCAGTTACCCAAAACTCCCCCTGGGATCTGGGACCTTGTTGGTAACAGTTTCCACCCACCAGGAAGGGGCAGCTGGTAGTGGCCTCCTGGAGGCAGAACCCAAGGAGCCCTCACTCTGCTGTGCCTCTTTGAGGCTGAGCCAAGGTTCTTGCCACACCACCCACTCCCACTGCCCTGCTTCTCCTCTTCTCTGATGCTCTGGCACTGGCAGCAGGTCAGCCTGGCCCAGCTCCTCCTGGCCTGAAGGGTGGGATCCTCAGTGCTGACAGAGACAGGGGCCCTGGGCCCAGCCCTCATAGCCCATGGTCCCTTGTCACTGCCCTGTGGGCCCTGGGCCACCAGATGGGTGCATGGTACATGGAGTCTTGGCTCATCACCACAACCACACCCAGGGCCAGGATGCAGCAGGGAGGGAGGCCTCACCTCGGAAGCGCTGGCTGAACCTCTTCCCTCGGGAGTGAGCCCCGTGGCTACGCTGCAGCAGGGCCACGTACTGGGCCCTCACATGGGCAGGAGTCACCATTTTGTCCATGTCAGCCTTGTCCAGGATGGGCACCTCACTGAGGTGCAGCTGCTGTAGCAGGCTGCCCAGGATCTGCTCCTCGGTCAGGGCTGCCCCGGGGCCAGCCAGGGGGAGCACCCAGAGTGCCCAGCAGAGCCACAGGGGCCTCATGGAGCTGCTCAGGAGGAGGAGGGGCAGGCAGAGGAGTCCCTGGAGGAGGCTTCAGGAGGGTCCCAGCTGGGCGTGCTGAGAGCCAGGCTGGGCCAGCTTTATAGCCAGCCCTGGGCTGGCCTGGGTGATGGGAGGAGGGAGTGGGGAGGGAGGTCACACCCCTCAGACCTCCTGGGAGCTCAGCAGCCAGACAGATCCTTGTGCCCTGGGGAGGGGGCTGTCTAGAAAGGGCACAAAGGGCTGTCTGGATGCCACACAAACCTGGGGCCTCTGGCCACTGCAGTCTGGAAGCTTAATAATAATTTTAGTGCCTATTGAATTTCCCTGGCCCAATCCCAGTAGTCTATGAAAATCCAGCCTATTCTGTGAATGGAATCCCATTAGCCAATTGTTTCAAATTTCCTGGAGGCCAGTCTGGGTGTAGGATTGTTCATCTTGAAGGAAGGGGGGACAGTATTCTGCATTACTGCTGGTGCTGGGCTCTCTCACCGAACACCTGGGTTAATGCTCTCCACTATTCCGCCTTCAAACCTCGGGACTCATTCTCCCTGGCAGAAGAGAGCTAGGTACAATCAAGACAAGCATCTGTTGCTCGTTGGCAGTCCTAGGAAAAGTAATTTCTGCACGTGTCTTGCAGGCACAGGTTCAAAGGACAAGAGACCCCTCAGGCGTGGCTTCATCCTGGGGAGCAAACAACAGAGAGCCTGCTACGGTTTCACACCACCAGGCAGTCTGGGCCCAAGTCCACGCACAGACGTAGAATGAGAAGCAGAAACTAGGAGCAAAGGTCGAGGCTGGCCAGAATTGTCCTGTCCAAAGTCACAGGCTCTGGACACATTGGGGAGAGAGGACCAAACACCCCCTCAAATACACACTTTAGACAGGTTGTGTTCAAATATGGGGCCACCTGCTAGCAAGTTCCTTCACTTCTCAGTGCCTTGGTGTCTTCATCTGAAAGGGGAGTGATAATAGTCTGGTCTGCTTCACAGGACTAGTATGGAGAGTAAGTGAACCACTGTGGAGAGTAAAAATGTGTAGCCCAGCGCTGGCACAGAGGAAACAATCTGTAAGGTCTGCATCATTGTACCTGCCCATCCTTCTCAGGGGCTGGCTTTTCTAAAAATGGCAACCAGAGAAAGAACAACCATTTCTTAAGTGCTCCCTTTGTGCCAGGTACTTCTCTAAGCTCTGAACTTTTTTTTTTAAAGATTTCTTTATTTATTTATACAAGCACTGGTACAAGCGTGGGAGGGTGAGAGAATCTACCAGAGCCAGAGCGGGGAACAGAACAGGCAGACTGACGAAATACACTACTGAGGGGAGCAGTGGGTGTGGCAGGAGAGGTCTGTGCGCCATGTGGAACCCTTGCCCACAGCCAGGGATTGAGCCGGCATTGCAGAGGCTGCAGGCAGCTTCGCAGCCCAGCGCTCAACTGCTGCACCAACAGGGAAGGCCCAGCTCTGAACATTTTCCTCAACAGTGCTAGGAGGCAGGTGTCAGCCCATCCTCCAGATGCAAAGTTAGTGCACAGCTCAATGAGGACTTGCAAAATCAACTGGAGCCTCTGTCCCTGAGGCTGCTCCTGGCCCAGGGATTTGAGGTTGGGCCAGAAGCCCTTCCCAAAGCTCAACAGCTTCAGGTGAGCAATGATGACAGAGGAGGGTAAGTATCTGCAGGCCACCAGGCCCCTCTTTTCCTTCCCAGCAGGGGGGCACCCTGGCCTCCTCCGAGGGGTTCCTGTGTCACTCACAGGTGTCTTATGTCATCATCTTGCCTCTTTATTCCTCACACACACACATCCCAGGCAGAGGCAGAGAAACTCTGATGCTTGAGGGTGGGATTTCCCAGCATGAGAGCCCAGGCACAGGTGTCATGCACACATTGCCAGTGTGTGCACGTGCAGCTGTGCTTGCGCAGACACAGAGGGTTTTAGCAGGAAGGGCGTGATCTGAGGAAGAGGAGGAATAATAAGAACATGGATAATATCAAAGAAGCCAGTAGTCCTAGCGGACTGTGCGCTGTCCTTAGTGCTTTGCACACAGTAACTTGATCTTCACGACTTGCCTTTGCTGTTCCCATTTCATAGATGAAAACATGCGGCATGAAACTGTTACCTGGACTTGTCCAAGGCAACACAGCCAGTAAGTGCCAGAGTACAGGTGTTTGAAGGGAAAGAAACAGGGATTTTGTCAAACATACACGTGCACAGGACAGATTGGAGGATATTTGGAAATCCTCACCCCTGAAGGGAGCCAAGGCTCTCAAGGGGTGACGGAGCATGGCCTTGACTGCTTCCTTTCCTCTCTGGCCTCTATTTCCATGGAATTTGTGATTCACAAAGAGGAATTAAAATCCATCTTGGAGCTGGCATCTCACATCATTTGAACATCCCTTGGAATATAAGGCACCGCCAACTACATTGGGCCCACACAGCCCTCCTGCTCTCTCTGATAAGTGTGGCCTTCTTCAAAAGAATGGCCGTTGCCTTTCTTTGCAAGTGATTAACAGGGAAAGCACTTACTTGATGCAAACATTTGGGCCTTAAGTCAGGCCAAAAGGTGCAGAAGTATCACATTTACAGGCGATGCAGGACCTGTAGCCCTTAGTCCCTAGAAGCTGGTCTGGGCTGGTGTTCCATAAATATGCACTCTTGCCCCTGGGTGAGAGGAAGCTCTGTGGCTTATCACTGGCCAGGGTGGTGCCAAGGATATAACACCCAAGCTCTCCTTGCATGCCATGGCCTCCTTCCTGGGCCCCCAACATCTAATCCCCTGGGAGCTCCCTGGGGCTGGAAGTTCCCAGGGAAGCCTTTTAGACTGTGTGCTGGTTTCAATAAGAACCTACTGCCACATGGTCAAGGGAGCCCAGGCCCCTGATACTGCTGCTCCTTGACCAGTGCATGCCCACACAAGGTGCCCAGTTAAATTGAAAACTTTATTTCTCTTCCAGAGAAGAATAACATGGAATTCCCCTTGTTGTGTCATTGGTGCTCCTGGTCGGCCCCCAGCACAGAGGCCATCCTACAGCTGAGCCCTCAGAAAGGACTCATCAGCATCTGGCATCTCAGACTGAGGTCTGGTCCTGCTGCAGGGATGGGCTTCTGGCCCCTGGTGCTTGGGGAGCTGTGGGGAGCTGTGGGGAGCTGTGGGGAGCACTGGGGTACTCTGAGAGCCTACACAAGGCTGTCCGTGTTTGGGAAACTGAGAACCCTTCTGTTCTTGGGTGACCTCCCTTAAGTGGTTGAAGCCTGGGATATTTGAAAACCCCCAGAGTGTTTGTTGAGCAAGACATCCATGTTCCTCCTTCCTCTGCTACTTTGTAGAGTTAGAAAGCTTAGATTAGAAACAACTCTCCAGACCTTCCCCTCTCCTCCTGTCTTTAGAGCTAAGAAAACAAGCTCGGTCGACTTCCCCAGGCACGCATTATTAGTGATAGATGTCTTCATAAAGTCAGGGCATCAGATCCTCAAAGTTCTTTCCACATCTCCAACTATTTCCAGTGCATGGCCCTACTCGACTCTCTGAAACCAGTGGGACACACCGCCAGCCCCAGGTGCACTGGAGACTCCGTACATCTGGGGGCTGGGCTGGGCAGGGGAGGTGGAGAAGCAGATAGACAAAGGGCAAATCCCCCAGACTCCTAAGACTTCCTGGACACAGGCTTCTGATCCTGAATGTGGATTCCAGGACAACTGAAGAGTTTCGCTGGGGAAATAAAATAATTGGGCAATTAGCCAGAGGCCGAAAGAAGAAGGTGAATGTGTATTGGAAGACTTTTTACAAGGGACTCATTAGTTGTCAGAGGGAGGGCAGCTGCTCTTTGTCATGCAGAGCTGAGAAGCAGGCCTGCCCTGACTGTGGATCTGAGGGTAGAGTCTGGTCAGACTGGCGTCTGTGGGGACAGACTGGACTTGGAAAGTGGAAAACTATAAAACAGCCTCTGATCTTTCAGGAGGGAGTCTATTTATAAACCCATCTAAGTCAGACCACTCTCCCCCAAGGCTTTCTAAGGTGGGAGAAGTCCAAATCACTTACAAAACCACGCTGTTAGGGATTTTTAAATATTGTGAAGATGTTCCCCACCCCACATTCACTCCCCCACTGATAGTAAGCAGTGAATGCTCTAAGCATAATTGCCTGAGTGCCTTACGAGGGTACAAGTGCTCTGCCCTCCTGTTGCCTCTACTGGCATGCGTCTGCATCAGGCCTGGGACATTAAGGCCCGAGTCTCCTCTAACCCAGACGGCCTTTAGATGACCCCACCTTTCAGTTTGCTGTGTCCTCCCTTGTCAGAACTCTGTGGTTTCAGCAGCCCTCTCCCTGGTTTGGTGTTATCCGGCCTGGCTTTTCCACATTGGTTGACCATCATAGAGCTCATGCAAGGTGCCCCTGAGTTTTGGGGGTGATGCCCCCACACTAACCTCTCAGCCCCGACAGCTTTTCTACACCCTTTGTTCTAGCACCTCTCACCATCCACAGGTCTGGGTTTGTTCCAGGGGGGTGTCTATGGAGGTGGTGATTTCTGCCAGAACCACCTGAGGAAATTGTGTAACAGATTCCTGGACCCCAGCCTAGACCTTGCATGGTCTTCCTGGGGACACAGTCCCGGAACCTGAATGTTACCAGCGTCTCTGCACATTCGGTTTGAGAAGATGGGTGGGCTTGGCTGGAGTGCAACAGCAGACCTGCAAGGGAGAAAGCTACCAACCATACCATTAAGGAATATGTAAGCAGTTCGTTCCAGATGATTCCTCAGCTTCCTTCTTGTCTGTGATGAGAAGAGAGAAAGGAACCGATTTTTTTTCCTGAGCTCTTTTCTGGGATTTCTCTGAAAAATTGAAAGTAAAGACAGAGAACGGAAAGGTGTTTTTATGTTTTTTTTCCTCTCTTTAAAGACTCTGAACGTTTTTTGTGACATATGCAATTAAGTTTGATATTTAACACTCAGTGTTAACAATATGTGGGTTAATATTTTCCTCTGGACTTCTGATTCTTCTCCACCATTCTATCCTGCAAAAGAATCCCTTTGTGTGTCTTTCCCCATAGCTTCAATACTTCTGAATATTTTCATTTTCAAAACCTTG